TCTCTCTCTCTCTCTCTCTCTCTCTCTCTCCACATAGAGACACGTACATTCTTCGCTTTTTTTTTTCTTTTTCTTTTTCCGTTTGCACCAACCATTTCACACTCCCCCCTTCCTCCCATCCCGTCTTCCTTTCACTACTTTCCCGTCTTCTCCTCCCCTCGCCATCCCCCCTGCCTCTGCCTTTGGTCCCCCTCCACTGCCGCAGCGTGGCTGCGGGGGATCCACTTGTAGTACTAATGAATGTTAATGAATTAATTATGAGGGTCTAGCAGGTACTGAAAGGTGGCTGTTATGGAGATCCACCTCTTGAACCATCGATCCCACAGCTATATGTATGCAAGGCAGTGAAAGCAGATAAAGGTGGATTCCCATTACGAAAGCTGTGAAAGCAGATAAAGGCAGTGAAAGCTGTGAAAGCAGTAATGGGGATCCACCTTTATCTGATAAAATACGGTGAATGAAGTATACGATTCGGAAAGCAGATGAACGCGGACAGAATCCCACAGGTATATATCTGCACATCCCAACAGCAATATGTCTGGGGGCATATTACACTCAACCGCATCGAGTCATCCTTTCTGCGAAGTTCAGACTGACGTCAGATTGTTCACGTAATCCTAACTTGTTCCTCCGAACATAGCGCCCCCATCATGGTGCCCTGCACTTGGACTAGAACAGGGTGTGCATGCATTCAGTGCCATTCACAACGATGGGGCGTTATGTTCACCAGAGGAAGAACGTCGGGCTGAAGAAGAGTTGACGGTTGCATGTCTGGGGCTCAGGACATGTGTGACACTGGCCCTCGTTGATTGAGCCTTGACGATTCAGTGCAGAGCGGTTCAACAATCAGTACACTCGGTCTTGGCAGAATCACACTGCATACCAAGTTTTGTCGAACCGTCACCAGCGCACTTTTTTTTTTCTTTTTCGGTTGACGCGGCCAGCCATTGTGGTCCCGTGCCACGGCCAGCCATTGAGGCCCACCAGTCCTTTGTCCCAAAGCTCTACCAGCCCTCTGCCGAACGGCCCAGGCCCGTTCGCAGATTAGTGCAATCGATGAACAGAGCGCTCCCGAATGCCCCCGAATGCTCCCGAATGCTCCCGAATGCTCCCGAATGCTCCCGAAGCCCCAGCCTTATGGAGAAATTGTTCATCACCTACTCCAAAAAAGTCAAGGCCGCCGCACTACTTATCAAATCCGTCAATGGCCGGCGTCACATTCAGGGCCTCTGAAACTCACAGCGAGGGGCCCGCAGCCGATGTATGGCCCTGTACTGGTGGTTTAAGTACCAACCGGATGTCAAACAAGGGAAGCAGCAACAAGCTTGCAGGCAGGCACCATCTATTGGCAGCCAAAAAAGGCATGATAGAGATTTCAAAATTTTTCCGACGGTCCTTTACACAATGAGAGTCGGGGCCACGACATCCGTGTCCCTTATTAGTTACAGCAGTCATGTTGCATTTCTACACTAAGGGTTCTGAATTTCCGCATCGACCAAGTGGCATTGAAGACAATGAAGGATATTCACGTCCAAGCGCAGCGCCAAACGGAGGAGAGGAGATGAACTCGCTGCAAGACGTAAAGGAACCTGGACAGCAGGTCGTTTAGGCGATGGGAAAGACGTAGCACGTAGAAGTAAGGAGATGACACAGCTGAGACAGTGGTTGCACATCATCTAGCCAGACAGTTGCTGCGACAGTCACTAGCATATGGCACTCCGTGAAATGGACACCCTGCTTTTGCCTGCCTTGGTGCTCTGAATGGCATAACAGGAACACCGTCCACATCGCACAAAAGACGACGATCGTACAATCAAGGAATGACATAGACGTGGCACAAAACGAGGAGAACAGCAACCGTAAGCGAATACAGTTCTGAAACCACTTCTGAAACTAACTGTGTACACACCACACCCTGCCTGCCCATGCGCAGCTGAACGGCACACACGTGTAAGCGTTCTTAAACAGAACAACAGTTCGAATGCTAATGGAATCAGGTGAACAGAATGAAGTTAGTAGCTGCCCTTTTAAACCACCAGTACCCATCCCAGCTATCCTTTCGCGCACCCACCCGTTAACATGATGATGCCTGCAGGTTTGTCGCTGCTTCCCTTGAACGACATTCGGTTCCCATGCGCAGCTGAACGGCAGACACGTGTAAGCATTCATAAACAGAACAAGAGTTTGAATCCTAATGGAATCAGATGAGCACAATGAAGTTAGTAGCTGCCCTTTTAAACCACCAGTACCCATCCCAGCTATCCTTACGTGCAAAATTTGGCATGTTAGGGGCAGGCAAAATTTCGCTCTATCGGGCACTGCCACACATTTCGGGCCGCAGAAAGTCTCAGCCTACAGGCCAGAAATGTGTGGCGGTGCCCGATAGAGCTTGTCTCCATGAAAATTTGGCATGTTAGGGGCAGGCAAAATGTGCATTGTGTCCTTCGGGACATCCGTTAAAATTGGAACGATACAGAGAAGATTAGCATGGCCCCTGCGCAAGGATGACACGCATAAATCGAGAAATAGTCCAAATAAAAAATTAAAAAAAAAAAAACAAAAAAAAAAACACATTGTCGGAAAGAAGCTCAGTGGGCCTAGGTTATGATTTGCATCAGATTCAGCAGAAGATATTTATTGTGCAACAATAGGTTGGCATGCTCGGTATGGCATAAATTCTAAAATCTAAGTGCTTTTTCGTAGGAGCAAGCACGAATTTGGTTAATAACTTTACAGGTTCTTTGAAAATAAATATTCAGCGATTTTGTTTTATCATTGTAAAGAAGGTTTCACAATAGGACTAAAACCTTATTGCTTTTGGTTCATTTTATTATTATACCTCTAATAAATGGGAAAAAAAAAGATAAGGAAAAGGAGACGGTGCGTAAGACTGGCTACGAATGCAGCGAACGTGCGCACAAAAGATTTGCGGAGCTCAGTGAGCTGAGTAAAGCTAGCTTCACCAAGAGACAGGACCTGAAGAAAAAAGGATATCCGGAAAAGGCGGGGTGCCCCCAGCCTTGTGGCACAAAGGTGTACACATGTAGCACCTGCTCGACAGATCATGAGTTCAATTCTTCCACAAAACGAAAGGGAAAGGCTGCCATGATCTCAACTGGTAAAGGACAGATAGGAAGGTTGAAGAAGGAGATATAGAATAGGAACAAACTTGAGAAGAGGGAGAGGAGTTTGCTATTGGAGTGTCATGGGGAGTAAGAAGATGAAGAGGCTTGTGATTAAGACGAGAATAGGAACAAACTTGAGAAGAGGAAGAGGAGTTTGCTATTGGAGTGTCAAGGGAAGTAAGAAGATGAAGAGGCTTGTGATTAAGACGAGAGCTTGGAACAAGCCCTTTCGCAGGGGTTGGGGGTTGGGTTTGGGGGGGGGAGAGGTGGGGGGGGGGGGGGGGGAGAGGGGGGGCTATATCTACACTGTAATCATTGTAACAATGCTTTTAAAGCACCAGTACATGCCAGTTATCGGTCGCGGGCCCCTTTCGGAGGCCGCCCACCGCCGATTAATTTTATCTGCGGCGCTCCAGTAGGCCTCCTAAATTTTCGGAGAGGCTCAAAACAGCTTCTCCAGTTGCCCGGGGCTATGTACTGGTGGTCTAACCTATTGTTTTTAACTATAGTTATATAGATAACTATATATAAGTATATAATATAATATTTGTATGACTGTAATGCTAAGTACAACTGACGACCTACACATGTGACTGAATGGATGTGAGTCAATGGCGATCACACACGTAACCCTTTGTAAATAGATCATGAGTTCAAAGCCTGACTAAAATAGATAAATCCCACAATGGTGCAAAGAACAACTACCAATGGGCCTAGCTCAGTTGGTACACCTACAAACTGTTGAAATGCGGACCTGAGTTCGAATCCAATAGTCCTAGGATAAGACTGGGCTCAGCCAAGCAGCACCTATCTAGACCAGTTGAGGTTTATCCCCAGAGGAGCAGCACAGCCTCAACACTGCCGCAGCCATTCACCGCTGGAAAACCATTGTCAAACTGAAACATACCGGCATTGGCAGATGGCTGGGAAAAGCGTAACTTTTTCCCCACATGCCTGTCCACAGAACCACAATCTTCTCACCCCGAACAGAGGACACCCTCAGCACAATGCATACAAGCTATATTTCCATTCCGATACGGTCACGAAGCATACAAGCTATATTTCCGTTCCAATACGGTCACGAAAAGGGCGCATTGTGTTTTGGGAGAGATGGTCGTGGCCTAGTCCCTCTTCCACGGTTCACCAAACATGCATGAAGAGGGCGCATTGCGTTTTGGGGGAGACGGTCGTGGTCTAGTACCTCGTCCCGAGTCGACCAAAAACGGAATCAATGAGAGGAGCTCTGCATGGGTTTGTGACACTCTTTGTGCTCGTTCATAGCAAACTTCCTCTTTCACCTACGCATCTCTTGTTCTGTCATGTGCACCCAACTCTTGAATGGACCTCTTTTTTTCCAACCAGTACCGTGTGGTAGAGATGTGAACTGCATTGTTGTGGACAAGTCTCCGGGAAGTTTTGCCTGCCTTCCCCACCAGATAGAACCACCGCAAGAACAGTGATCGGAGAACGAGACATTCTCCCCAGTATCGCGTGAGAGCAGAGGAATAACAAAACACCAAAAGAGCTCCGAGAGTGAAGTCTGGCAGTCTTTCGAACAGCACTCTGAATCTGATGCTGCCAAGAAGCTTCCGAGAAGCTTTCGAGAAGCTTCCGAGAAGCGTCCGAGAAGCTTCCACTTGGCTTCGTTCTTTCCCAATACTCTCTGGGATGCAAAGAGATAGCAAGCTTATCCGAAGAGAGACTCTCTCCTCCATCCCTTCAAACTGATTGTTAGCATTGACACCTCTGGATCACCACAGTTCTTTCCCTTCTGTGGTTAAGAGACTTGGCTCTTGTGGCTGAGGGTACCGGTCTGATTCCATGCCTGCACGGATGGGTCCGAGGCCTGAGAAAGTGCTGACCTCCCCTTTCTGTGCTTCTCTTTGCTTCTTTCCGCAACTGCTACAATATGCGTCTACTCTGGATGTCAACAAGAAAAGAGTGTGTGATGTTGGTGATCGATAATTCTTTAACCAGAGTTTCAAGCTAGCTACACAAGCCTTGAGACACACGGCTCATGTCACATGAAGTCACCGGTACTAGGAAGCACATGTGACACGTTGGCAGCACCAGGCAAATTCAGAGGAGACCACTGCTAGGAAGCACATGTGACACTAGGAAGCACATGTGACACTAGGAAGCACCTGTGACACTAGAAAGCACATCTGACACTAGGCAGTCATTGATACTAGGAAGCACATGTGACACGTTGCCTGATACGAGGCACATTGGCAGCACCAGGCAAATTCAGAGGAAACCACTACCATGGCTGCCGCCCAGATATAAGCCACGGAAGAACAAAAAAAAAGAGTGGAAACGTTTCTAGTCGGATGAATTTGAGCGCTCCTGTAGTGACATGTACATTTCCTAAAATCGTGGCTTGTCAATGGGCATGACTTTAGGAAGTACTGGTGATTTAACAACACTGGAGTTATCTGCACTTCCCCAACTGCTTGCGCAGTACTCACTACTAGTCCTTTCTCACCCGAATACAATGTACGGTCATTACATAGCGGTATTGAGAGAATCTTTCAGTCTAAATACACCAATAATGTCCTTACGTTCTATTCGGGTGAAGAAGGTAGTCCTCCTTCATGGAATACTTGGGTGCTCTAAACGACGTTGCAGCAACACCAGCAAAGACCATTGATCAGACCACTGATTAACGGTCAAGTTAACACTGCAGCAAGAAACTCGAGCACTCACATCTCAGGTACAAGAACCGAGACAGTGTGCTGCCAAGAAGGGGGGGGGGGGGTGTTGGGAGGCGGGGGTGCAGCTTAACAGAGGGGAATGGAAGTGACTGACAAGGCTGTTGGCTCCAATCCTGCCCAACTTTATCACTCAATGTCAGCGGAACAGAAGTAGATCGATTGGAACAGCACATACATTTAGCTCGTCTTGGCATCAGCCCTAGAGTCAGCCTGAAAGAAAGAAAACTGTGGGAAAGAGACGTACGCACTTGCATGCTACAAGAACCTACGACCACCTCATCCTTGCATGCACCAAGGAAGGTGGTCTTGTCCTGGGACTCATTGTTGGGGCAATCCAGGACTTCGCCTGGAACAAACAAAACTTCGGACGATAAATGTCCATTCACGCTGCCAGAAGGAAGGATGGACCACCACTGCGTCCTTACTTGCACGCTACCACGGAGGATGGTCTTCTCCTGGGAATGGAGGTCGGGGCTTCCAATTTGGGTACCGATCCCAAAACATGTCATAGTAAATGTGCCCTGGTCTGGAATCCAGGCAACACCATATCCCTACGAATCGCTTTACCCTATTCTCAAACTTCTTGCTTGCTCTCGCATAGGCAAACCCTGCAAAGACCGAGTCCATGGACGAGAACTCCAACAGTGCTACAGACCTGAATGGTTCGAATATGAGCCTGATCGTAGTTTCATTCACAAGTTCTTTCATCCTTATTGTTGTCAGCAGTATTCTTTTGTGCAGGTTAACACCGGTACTTCCATCCCCGAGACACCCTACCTCATCCGAACGACAGATATGCACTTGCAGTGTCGACATTCTCACCTCCTGAGGAACTCGTGGATTGCTCAGGAACGAGTACTCCCGAAAGTGAATCTGAGGCCCGAACTCGTTGACGGGAAAGGCCTCTAGCATGTGATTGATCTCAAACACGTGATCCAACGGACAGCGGAAGGGTTGTGAAGTCAGAGTTCCTGGCAGCACGCCTGGGTGCGGATACCATAACCGATCGAGCCGGCACCAGAGCTCGGGGAAAATTAGAGTTCGGTTGAGAATAGAGGCGATCGCAAGGGCCTGCCTGATCAGTTTGAGCTGGTAATTGACCAGAGCAAAATGAGTCTCGACATTGTGCTCCCCAAAAATCAGAAGTTCTTCCGGGATGTTAGGTTTGAAGGACATCAGGCCGTCCTTTGGGTTGAAATAGTCGGGATCGTCATCGTAAGCCCAGGCCATCGCTTCACGAAATCTGTGCCTTTTGCCTGCAGTGCCACCATACTGAAATGTCGCATGGATAGCGTAAGGCTTGAGCCCAAACTTCTCTGGGAGCTGCTGGACAAAGTAGGTGTGCCCGCTGCAAAAGACAGACACCGGGAGAATGCCCATCTTCAGCTCGCCATCGAAGGCATAGAATAAGCCACCTCCACCTTCCACTTCCGGCCCGAGCGTTCTCCTCATCACGTCGTTGAAGGCATTCTGGTCCCATACCTCCTCCCCCCCCATGATCTCTGCCTCCCAGGCTCTGAGCTGTTTCCTAGACGCATTCGTTGGCCTGTAGAAGAGTATGCCTATGTTGTAAGCTGCATGCGCAATCCTCCAATCTTCGAGCGACTCGTCGCGTGCAACATTGCTCACCTGGTCACTGGAAGTGAGAACGTCGGCCGCTTCATGGTGCCTGAAGAAAGGGATTGGATCGCGCACCCACATCACATCGGTATCTGACATGAGGACCTCAAAGCCCATGTCCAGCAGGGTTCGGAGGAGGCCCAATTTTTTCTGCACAATTTTGTGAAAGCCAGGGCTGCCCCAGCCAGGATCATGTGGCGGCAACCGACTCTCAACCCCGAACACCGGCACACCAAGGTAATACAGTTTCGAAAGGATTATGTCGTCCAGAGCACCAACTAGGACATTGTCCAGACCGAGGTCCGTTAGATGACGGACCCAACTGACCGCGAAGTCAAAGAAGGCATTGTTGGCGAACGAGACAACAATCACGTTGTCCCTGGCCCGCGACTCTACAAGAGCCTTGGTCAGTCCGAATTTCTTTGTGTCCGGAAGGGGTTGAGACGGATCCGGCGCATCCCAAATGGGTCGAAATGGGAGTTCAGGAACATCCGATGGCGCTACAGTTGTTGCATTGCTTCCGAGTTCTCCACTGGATTCAGCCTCGCGTTCTTGCTTTTGCGGCGTACTCTGTTCAAGATCTGCTGGCGCCACTTCTTTGTCAATCAGACTTTCTCCCGTTCCTGAAATGTTAGTGACCAATTCTTCCTCTGCTTCTGACGTCTTAACATCCGATTGACCCTCTCCTCCTTGAGAAGTCATGGTGTTCCTAGCACTGTCATCAACCCCATCTTGAGTTATCGCATTGACACTCACCAAACCCTCCTTGCTCCCTTCGTCCGCAGATCCTACACCTCCAAGTGGGTTCGCCTCCTGGCCTGTTTGGAGGGTAGGTAGCGGGTTAGGCCCAAGACGCTGGCTGTTACCAGTGAGAGGATCTCCTGCTGTCTGATCTGCACCCTCTTTCTTAACTTCAGCGGGACTAACGTCTGCTGCCAACCCATCGATCGGCAAGCCTTGTGAAGGGTCAACGAAAGTGGTCAGTCCTTTGCGGAGAGGGGTTTGTGATGTCCACTCGGACACGTTAGCCAATGCCTCCCAATACAGTGGTCTCCCCATGAAATAGACAAGAAGAAGTATGGCGGCTACTCCAAAACCTGTTACGTACAGTCGCCCGAAGTAAGCAGCAGACGGAATCACCATCTCGCTGTACTGGAGTACCAGAGTTTCACTGATTGACAGTCCCTTCCAGCTGAACCCAGGCAAGTAGGAACTCGAGTTCACTGAATCATGCAGCCATTAGTGTAAATTATTGAATCCGCGTCTTCATCGCTGGGTCAAATAGTCATTAGTGTAACTTATTGGACACACTGCTCCTCTTTTAGCACATAAGAATGTCAGTCCTTGTTAAGTCTGTCAAAAGCATCAAATCGTGAAGTAATTGGTACCACATTATTTTGAAAAAACTTCCTTTTCTTGCATGTGAATCAGTCAGCTCCTTCTCACGAGTCAAAAACTACCTTCTTCCCCCAAATACAACGCACCCTTATAATGAATGTATACAAGCTAATTTTCCAGTCCGATACGGTTGCAAGGAGGTGCGTTGTGTGTGAGGAAGACAGTAGTTGCTAAGGTTGTGCATTGCACGAGTGTGAAGGAAGCGGTGTCATGAGATCAATTTCATGGAAAGCTTAAACCACCAGTACACCGCCACAGCCTTGCAGAAAGATTTCATCACCACCAACTTGAAATTTCGGGGCTGGGCAGGCGGTGTGCTTTGCACTGTGGCCCCAAATCTGACGTTGGTGGCACACCCTACCCGTAGAAAGAAAAAAATTGGCCGCCTCCGAAGTGGTACAAATATCAGCCTGACACCCGCGGCCGATGTCTGGGGTACTGGTGGTTTAAACCACAAGTAGACCCACGCCTGGCGCCCTTGGGGTACTGGTGGTTTAAACCACAAGTAGACCCACGCCTGGCGCCC